CCCGTGCTGTCCCTGCCCTGGGAGTGTTTGATGGGGGACAGTGTAGAGAGAGCTTTACCCTGTGTTGAACCCCATGCATTCCCTGCCCTGGGAGTGTTTGATGGGGGACAGTGTAGAGAGAGCTTTACTTTATATTGAACCCTGTGCTGTCCCTGCCCTGGGTGTGTTTGATAGGGGGACAGTGTAGAGAGAGCTTTACTTTATATTGAACCCCGTGCTGTCCCTGCCCTGGGAGTGTTTGATAGGGGGGGACAGTGTAGAGAGAGCTTTACTCTATATCTAACCCTGTGCTGTCCCTGCCCTGGGAGTGTTTGATGGGGGACAGTGTAGAGAGAGCTTTACTCTATGTTGAACCCCGTGCTGTCCCTGCCCTGGGAGTGTTTGATGGGGGACAGTGTAGAGAGAGCTTTACTCTGTATTGAACCCTGTGCTATCCCTGCCCTGGGAGTGTTTGATAGGGACAGTGTAGAGAGAGCTTTACTCTATGTTGAATCCCGTGCTGTCCCTGCCCTGGGAGTGTTTGATGGGAGACACACTAATAATCTTGCAGTCTATGACAGTGATGTCCTGAGCAGAAGGTTAAAAATTACACTGAAAGGGGATCTAATCTGAGTGAAGAAAAGAAAATGATGAATTTAGGGAATTAAAAATGATAATTGGCTTGGTTCACAAAGGAGAGACAGGAGCTTGGAAGAAGCTTTCAGTTGATCGATTCCTGTCGACTGACAACACCCTGTCTCTGATGTTACACTATCTGCAGTAGTGTCCACAGGTCACCTTTCAGATAAAATTTTTGTGACTATAACCAAGCAAGTGTAATATCGGAATCGAACCTTGTAGTTCAGTCCCAGTGAAGCTCACCAGCCTGATTCAGCACAGTTAGGAATCACTGAGTGTGGCTTTGTCTCATCGGGCTCCTCAGACACTGGAGTCTGAGTGTCTCCGAGCTCAGGCACCAGTGCACAGTTAAACGAGACGTCAGAAGATGGGTGGCTCAGGCAGCAGGAGGGTTTACAGGAGTCAGTGCAGGAGATTAAAACGACATTTTAGAAATTATCCTCATTGCAGGACACAAATAGGCACACGTACACAGCCAGGCATAGACAACACACATACACATACACACACACACACTCACACACACACTAGGGACACAAACAAACACACACAAACACGCACACACATACAAGCAGACACATGTACTCAGACAGATTAGACAAACACATACACACAAAGGCAGATACGTATACACAAGTTACACAGGCGCACACACACACACACAGAGATGCAGACAGACGACACAGACACACCTAGTTATAGACACATAGATAAGACAAGTTGCACCCTGCACTGTTCTTCCTGTCAGTCTCATTTGCCTAGTTCACTGACTCATTATCGTTTCACCAAAATTAAACAAAATCTCCATTTTTAAAAAGAAATGTTATGTTGGAAATCTCCTCCGAGAAAAGACATTAATTATTGAAAAATGCCACAATCTTGTCTTCCACCCCAGCGTATTCCCAACACACAATATAATTAACCTTCCAGAATTCATTCCAGTCCTACACATTGCACACAAAATCTCAATGGATCACATCTCCACGCACTGATTTTCTTTAAAAAGCATTTTCCTTGAACGATGCATCTGCCCCTCTCACCGACTAAAGAAATCTCGACCATAAATATTTATTAATGCAAAAATTAATTTTCACAGCCGAAAGCAGAGAAATCCATATTAAATTAATTTTAAACAAAAGGAAAGCATCCATTAATTATCAAATATAAAGAGATATCTAGATTTCAGATAGTCATCATTACTGCAGTGGCAGAGGCTGGTCACATTTGATTGTAGATTGAGTGATGTGTTCCAAGCCCTTGCTGCTTGCTTTGTTCTGTCTGTACTTACCACAGCCCTGAACCCGGTCAAAGAGCAAGAGACAATTCTGTCATGTCGGAATCAAATGCTCAACTCCAGCCTCTCTCATTACATCACTTCTCCATCACCCCATTGGACCACATGTAAGCTGAACACTGATTGGCCACTGGATAGAAGGTTGGGTCTTGGGGCATTAACCCTCAGCAGGCCCAGGCCTTGCCCCTTCCCCTTCCTGCTCTCCACTCACTAGCCCCTGGGCCACCTCTGTCAGAACCAGAACCTGGCCAGTGGATGAGGGAAGGATGTGGGAGTAGCACGTCCAGCATTCCTTCCACATTGCACCCCCCGCCTCAGAAAAAAAAAAATAGACTGCCAAATGTTAACCTCTCACCCCAGTCCCTTTCAGATTTTTGGGTCCTGGGGAATTCAGTGATGAAGGGGATAATTTGGAAAGATGGCATTGAGGTTTATCAGATTAGCTGTGATCCAGCTAAATGGTAGACTGGCTGTTGGGGGCCGGTTAGTACAGTTGGCTGGAGGCATGGTGACCCTCATGTTAAACTACTACCAGTCATATCTCTCGAATGAAAGAGCAGCCCATAGCCATCTGACACTATATACACTTTACATTTAGGTAGGCTAGGCTTGAGGAACTGAATGGCCTACTCACGTTCCTTTTGCCTGTGTTTCTCAATGTTCAGCGCTATCCAGAATTCCTCAGATACTGAACTCGGGAGGAGACGGCTCAGTGGTATTATCGCTAGACTATATAACCCCCAGAGACCCAGGTAATGTTCTAGGGACCCAGGTTCAAATCCTGCCATGGCAGATGGTGGAATGTGAATTCAATACCAATTTGGAATTTGGAGTCTAATGATGACCATGAAGCCATTGTCAATTGCTGGGGAAAAAACCCATTGGGCTCACTAATGTCCTTCAGTGAAAGAAACTGTCATCCTTATTAGAGGATGAACATATGAGCTTCCTTGTGAGAGAAACTGCCATCCATGTAACTCCAGACCCATAGCAATGTGGTTGACTCTTAAGGGTCAGATGAGCAAATAGGACTGTGCAATAAATGCTGGCTTAACTAGCAATACCCTCATCCTGTGAATGAATTAAGAAAGTCCAAATCCAAATGCAGTAAGATCTGGACATTGTCTAGGTCTGTGACGAAAATGGAAAATAAGCATAAGGTCCAGACAATGGCCACAACTGAGAACCTAACCATTGGTCCTTGATATTCAGTGGCATACAGCAAGGTACTGGTGAGATCGTGAGCAATTTTGGTCCCTTATTTAAGAAAAGAGAAGTTCAGAAAAAGCTGGGATGATCTGTGGTATGAAGGGGCTGTCTTATGAATAAAGGCTAAACAAGTTGGAACTCTACTCACAGGAGTTTAGAAGAATGAGAGGTGATCTCATTGAAACATATAGGGTTCTTAAGGGGCTAGACAGATGTTTCCCCTTGTGGGAGAGTCAAGGACCAAACAGGCTTATTTTTAAATTCACTCACAAGATGAGGCATTGCTGGCTAGCCCAGCATTTACTCCCATCCCTAATTGTCCAGATGGCACTTAAGTGTCACCCACATTTCTGTGGGTCTGGAGTCATGTAGGCCAGACCAGGTGAGGATGGCAGTTTCCTTCCCTAAAGGACATTAGTGAACCAGGTGGGTTTTTCTGACAATTGGTAGTGGTTTCATGGTCATCAGTAGATTTTAATTCCAGATTGTTTTTAAAATTGAATTCAAATTCACCCTCTACCATAACAGGACTCAAACCTGGGTATCTAAAACATTACCTAGGTCTCTGAATTAACAGATAATACCACTAGGCCATCACTTCCTCTATAGCCTCAGAATAATGGGGTGCCAGTTTCTTGTTTCAGAGGGTTCTGAGTCTTTGGAACTCCTTGCTTTGGAAAACTGTGTGGGCAGAGTCCTTGTGTATACTTAAGGCAGAGATCAATAGATTCTTGATTAGTTGTGGAATCATGAGGTACTGAGAAAAGGCAGGAAAGTGGACATGAAGAATGTCAGAACATTCATCATCCTGTTGAATGTCAGAGCAGACTTGAGGACTGAACAGCCTACTCCTGCTCCTATTTCATATAGTCAGTTTACCATCACTGAATTCCACCAACGTCAACATCCACATCCTGAGGGTTAAAATTTACCAGAAACGGACTGGGCTCACCACATAAACGCAGTAAAGAGCAGGTCAGAAGCTGGGAATACTGCGGCAAGTAACTCAGCTCCTGACTCCACAAAGCCTGTCCACCATCTACAAGGCACAAGTCAGGAGTGTGATGGAATACTCCCCACTTGCCTGGATGGGTGCAGCCCCAACAACACTAAAGAAGCTCAACACCATCCAGGACAAAGCAGCCGCTTGATTGGCGCCACATCCACAAGCATCCACTCCTTCCACCACCGACGCTCAGTAGCAGCAGTGTGTACTATCTACAAGATGCACTGCAGAAATTCACCAAAGATCCTCAGACAGCACCTGTTGGGCTATAACCTGGTGTTCTGTGACTTCTGACTTTGTCCCTCCCGACGGGTATTGTGGGTCAACCTACAGCAGGCAGACTGCAGCAGTTCAAGAAGGCAGCTCACACCCACCTTCTCAAGGGGGCAACTAGCGACGGGCAATAAATGTTGGCCCAGACATGTTGTGAATGAATACAGATAATGTTTTGCTTCGATTCAATACAACCATAACAATCACTGCACCTTAGGCCAGTCATTCCCCCAACATTAATCTCTGACACTAATTTTTTTTCTCCCTATTAGAGTCATATAGGATGGAAACAGACCTTTTGGCCCAACTTGTCCATTTTGACCAGGTTTTCTAAACTGAACTAGTCACATTGGTCTGCACTTGGCCCATATCCCTCTAAATCTTTCCTATTCATGGACCTGTCCAAATGTCTGTTAAATGTTGTAATTGTACCCATCTCTACCACTTTCTCTGGCAGCTCGTTCCATACACACACCACCTCTGTGTGAAAAAGTTGCCCCTCACCTCAGGTTCATTTTAAATCTTTCCCCTCTCACCTTAAATGTATTTTGGACTCCCCTACTCTAGGTTATTCACCTTATCAATGCCCCTCATGATTTTATAAACCTCTATAACGTCACTCCTCAACCTCCAACGCTCCAGGGAAAATAGTCCCAGCATATTTAGCCTCTCCCTGTAGCTGAAACCCTCCATTCCCGGCAACATCCTTGTCAATCATTTTTGTACTTTTTCCAGTTTAATAACATCTTTCCTATAACAGAGCAACCAGAAATACAGCAGTACTCCAAATGTGATCATACCAATGTCTTCACATCATTCACTAATGACTTGGATAATGGCAAAGAAAGTCAATTATCCAAATTTGCTGATGACACAGTGTTGGGCAGCATTGTAAATGAAAGCATAAAATTACAAAGGGATATTGATAGAGTAAGGGAGTGAGCAAAACTATTGCAGATGGAATTGAATGTTAGCAAGTATGAGGTTATCCATTTTGGGTGGAGAATGGATAGATCAGGGTGCTATCTAGATGGTAGGAAGTTAAGTACAGTGGATGTCCAAATATACTTGGCGATTCAGGTGCATAGATCTTTATATGAGGTTCGGAACTCTGTTCCACAAATGGCAGTGGATGCTGGGTCAGTTGTGAATTTTAAACCTGAGATAAGTTTTTGTTAAGCAAGGGATTTGGGTCAAGACGGGTATATGGAGTTAGGCCACAGATCAACCACAATCTCATTGAATGGTGGAACAGGCTCGAGGGCTGAATGGCCTACTCCTGTTCCCAAGTTCCTGTGACAGTTCAATCATTTTGGTTGCAAGTATGATGCCTCCCATCTCACTCCCATTGTCGGAGGAACATACCTAATTTCTCTGAGCTTGTCTCTCACTCTTTAAGATGGCACGATGGCTCAGTGATTAGCACAGCTGCCTGCAGCTCCAAGGACCCGGGTTCAATTCCACTCTTAGGCGACAGTCTGTGTGGAGTTTGCACATTCTCCCCATGTCTGCATGGGTTTCCTGCGGGTGTTCTGGTTTCTATACACAATCCAAAGATGTGCAGGCTATGTAGATTGGCTGTGCTAAATTACCCGTAGTGTGCAGGCTAGGTGGGTTAGCCATGGAAAATGCAGGGTTGCAGGGATAGGGTAGGGGTCTGTGTGGGATGCTGTTCAGATGGTCAGTGCAGATACGATGGTCTGAATGACCTCTTTCTGCACTGTAGGGGTTCTATGATTCTCATAAATTAATTCTGATTCTGAGTACAAAGGGCTGATATCATTTGTATCGATCACATTCCATGCTGTTCCTAGAGTAATTGATTTAATCTCTAACACATGCAGCAAACTGGATATGGTCCAGGCTGCTTCCTGTTGCCTTCAGGACTGAACAGAGATGTTCATTTCGGTGACTGAATGCTGCTTGATCTCAATCTTCCAGGAAAAGGATCAGTGACAATGGTGACATCATCATTTCAGAGAATCACCAGGAACAGAAGCACAAGGAAGCCATTCAGTTCTTCAAGAATGTCCTGCCATTGAACGGGAGCATGGTTGATCATCTATCTTGGTTCCACTAGCCCATACTATGTCTATATTCCCATAACAATAGGTTCTTCATTCGTAAGGGGACCAAGGGTTATGGGGAGAAGGCAAGAGAATGGGGTTCAGAAACATGTTATTGTCGAATGATGGAGCAGACTTGATGAGCCAAATGGCCTAAAAAATTTTGCTCCTATACCTTAAAATCTTATGACATTTGCCTTCTGAAATGCATAGATTTCAGTCCTGAACCTGCTGAATGCATGAGCCTCTCCAACGCTCAGGGAGAGAGGAAATTCCACAGATTGCCCACTGTGAGAGTGAAGAAAATCGTCCTCAGCTCAGTCTAAAATAGCCCACCTCCTGTTCTGAGACTGCTACCTTCTCGCATCAGTCAATCCCTCTGAGAACTCTCTTAAAATTCAGTGAGATCACCTCTCAGTTTTCAAAATCTCAGAGAATAATGGCCCAGTTTCCTCATTCTCTCCTCATTGAACAT